CCTTTCCATAGATATACTATACCTCAAAAAGAAGGAAAAGAAGAGAACACACTGATCTCCCAGAAAAGCAAAAAGTTACCTGTTACTTTATGGGGAGGTGGAAGTGGAAGCCTTGTCTTGCTTCTGGTGGGGTCGGAAGATGATCATTACATTGGCTTGTGTCACTTCTGAGCTTGCAAACCAGGAGCCCTTCCTAAATGAGGTGATTGTGGGACTGATCCAAAATAAGTCTGGATTAGACAGATTGTTCTAATGTCTGAATAAGGTCTGTTTTAATGACAGGCAGAGATGAGGGCATCTTGCCTGAGCCTGGCCCCTTCTATCAGAGAAGGGTATACCCCACATACACTCAGAGGAGAGTTGTTTCCCACACCCCATGGTTCTTTGAGCAGAGAGCCCGCATCTTTACATCTGTACCCCCAGTGCCTGGTACCCACCCAACTCCCAACAGGTGCTCAGAGTTCAGTTCTGAGTGAATTACAATGGGAGGTTTCTGCTGGGTCCATTCTCCCCTGAGCTCATTCCTGCAATATAGGGACATCGAATGACTTTGGCCAGGCTTTTGCCAGTTTTTGAGTACGTCAGTCACTTGGGAAGACTGTTGAAAATATAAGAATGCTGTGATTTGAATGTCCTCTCTAAGACTCAGGTTGAAGTTTGTCATTATGACAGTATTAAGAGGTGGAACCTTTTAGCAGTGAGTGGGCCATGAGGGATCTCCCCTCACGAATGGATTAATTTCAGCTCTGGAGTGGGTTATCATAGGAATGGGCTCCTGATGAAAAGATGAGTTCTGTCCCCTACTATCCTCTCTTCCTCACTTTCATGCTCCTGTACTCTCGTGCTTCCTCACCACAAGACAATCTTTTGCCATAAGACACATTTTGCCATGTCATGCTTCAGGAAGAAATCCTTTACCACATATGGCTTCCTGATTCTGAATTTCCCAGCCTCCAGAACCCTGAGAATAAACTTCTATTGTTTCTAATTCACCCACTCTGGTGTTTTGTTACAGCAGCAGAACACGGACTAAGAAAGCACACAAAATGGGAAGCCTGTGAGAAACCCTACTCTAGGTAAATGAAAGTATAAAATTAACAGAGTCCTCCTGGGACCTCAAATTCTCTAACAGTCATCAAATATGAATACCAAAGCCCTCTGGGATATGGGGAGTCTGGAACTCTCTCCATGTCAATGCCAATGCCAATGATTTGAGTTTCCTTTAAGACTCCTCCTAAAACACACTCTGATATCTAGATGGCTATGGGCACGGTCACTGGATATGGGTACAGTCTTCTGCCTCCAGCCCCCTACAAGAGGGAGCTTGCTTCTGGGGACCTTCACTGCCCATCTCAAGGGGTGGGAACAGTGCCAGCACATCTTGGCCACCTGCCTGGAGCTGAGGCAGTCATCTCCCTCCACCTAGTCAGGAGCCTGGAAAAATTTTCCCTTTGGGTTGGGGAGCCGTGACACTTTAGGAAAGCTAGGAACAGAACCTCCCCTCTTCTTGAAGGGGAGAGTGAAGCCCAATAGATATTAAACTTAAGTGGAATGTGTGTAATTTTCAATATCCTTCCCTTAAATGCTGCTCCTCCTGCACACCACGCAGTGATGTTGCTATGATTCCAAAAGGCATTCTTTCCCAGTTATCTATATTGGCTTGGAATTTGGTTTTCTGTGGCCCCAATAGGGGTATCGGTTAATATTTTTCAGAACAAGCTTTTTGTTGCAATAATACATTTAGATCTGTTCAGTTAGCACCTAAGATTGGTGCAAAGGGCTGGCTGGCCTGGGACAAGTGCCACAGAAGTCATTGTCTCAAATGGGGGAGGGGAGACAGGAGTCTCCTCTGCCTTATTCTAAATTTAGGGGGTTTTATTCTTTTTCTTTTGTGGTACTAGGGATTTAATCCAGAGGCACTCTGAGAGTCACATTCCTAGCCTTATTTTTTTATTTTATTTTGAAGCAGGGTCTCACAAAATTTTGCTGATGCTGGTCTCAAACTCACAATCTTCCTGCTTCAGCTTTCTGGGTACCACTGCACCCAGACAAAGTTACTTCTTTTCCTTAGAAAGGGGGAATGGAACATCTTGTGAAAGGGGACCCAAGTGTAGAGTAAAATGAGATCAAGAAGTGATTTTTTTAAATTATTATTTTTAATACCATTGTTTTATTTATTTATTATCATGTGGTGCTGAGGATCAAACCCAGGGCCTCGCACATGCTAGGAGAGTGCTCTTCTGCTGAGCCACAACCCCAGCCCAAGAAGTGGTCTTTTATTTAAAATAAAAAACTTTTGTTTTAAAATCAAAACCCTCTGTGGACAAAAGTATATTAAGAAAGCGGCTCCCAGCAGTGCAAGGAATTAGGCAGTGTAGAGTGTACCACCTGCAGCTCCACTTTTAGGGCTATGAGTCTACATTTTAATAGCCTTGAAAACTCAGAATCTCCCAAGTTGCCCTTCCTCTCACTTTGATTTTTTAACTGGATTAAGGATTGGCTCAAGACCTGGATCATGAGCCTATATTTATGCTGAGCCAAGAAATTCTTCAGGATTAAATTTTTTTATTGTATAAAGGAAGTGAAAATTATTTAACTAGATTATGGTCTCACTTTTTTCCCTTTACAATCATGGTCATGATCCTGTGACTATCTGGAGCAAGGGAAAGCAGCACAAGCCACTTGTGATCCAACTGGAGTAGGGTTCTAAGTATACAAAAGCATGAGAAGCCACATCTTAAGGAATTCTGGGGGCTGCAATTCAATGAGAAAATATTTACTAGGCCTGGGGATGGGGCTCAAGCGGTAGCTGGCTTGCCTAGCATGCGCAGGGCGCTGTATTCAATCCTCAGCACCACATAAAAATAAAATAAAGATGTTGTGTCCACCGAAAACTAAAAAGTAAATATTAAAAAAAATTCTCTCTCTCTCTGTCTCTAAAAAATATATATATATATTTACTGGGTATTTTCTCTGTGCAAACCTTGTATTCATTTTGTAGGAAACTGGGGCCAAAAATAATATTAGGCATTTCAGAATGGCCAGAACTCCAACATATTTCCTCTTTAAAAACTTATTTCTGTGTTTGACCTTATCCATGGGATCAGCTTGCCAGGCATAGCCTTTCAATCTAACAAAGTTAAAAGAGAGTTCCATTGATCCCTTCTTCCAAAAGGGGCTTTTGTGAAGTTTCCCACTGTCACAAGCCATATTTTTATTATTTCTCATTTATAAAACAAAACACTCTTTTCATATCCAAATATTTTCCTATTGAAACACCAACTAATATCCACTTAGAGCTGACATTTCAGTCTCCATAGACTAAAGACGAAGTGGCCTCAATTTTTCTAAGTTTCAGAGAAACGATCAATTCTTTTAAAGTATCATTCCGGAAAATATTTGAGGGTGATTTCTCGTTAGCAAACGCCGGGCAAACTGTACAAGACACTGGACAACATATTGCAACCCACAGGCAGCTTCCTTTGACTCCTTATGCATATATCAGATTGTAAAAAAAAAAAAAAAAATCCCAAATCATTCTTAAATATGTATGAGTCAGGACAACATACACAAACACATATGAACGCGGAACTAAATGTTCACCTGTCCTGCTACGCAGCATTGAATCAATCGACGTGTCCAGGACTCACACACCCAAGGGCATCCTTCAGGAGATGAGCATTCAGAGGATACTCACACTCAGGGAAGAGGGCACTCGTGCGTACACGACGTCCCCACTCACAGGACACTCGGGAGGCCACCGAAGCCCTGACAGCCGTCACCCCTTGCCACGCGCCAGGGTGGAGAGTGAGGATCCTGCACCCGGCAGAAGATAGACCCCGCACACAGGCACAAGGTAGGGACCAATCACAGCCCTGTCACCAGCTTTCTTAGCCAATGGGGAAGCGTGGTGGTAGGCCAATGGGAGCGTGGGCAGTGGAGAAACTGTAACAAGTTGCCAGAAGGATACACCAAAGGGTGAGCGCGGAGCGATGGGGGAGGGGCGGGGCTGACCTTTTCACCTGACCCGGTCACGAACCCCAGTTTTCTCATCCTTCAAGTGGGATGAGAAATCCCAGGAGTCGTGAGGGTTCGAGCCAGGCTCCCTGCCTCAGAGAAAGGTTTAAAAAATGTTGTCATGCAGGAAATGATGCCTAGTAGGGAAAAGGGGGAATGAGATTTCACCTTGGGCAAGAAGAAATGGAGTTGGGGACTGAGAGGGGTGGCAGAGAAGAGACCTTTAAAAGGTCAGGGTAAAAAGTAAAGAAAAAAAAGTGTTCATGTGTTGGGATAATAGGAAGTAGACAGGCAAAATATATATATATAATTTTTCCTCCCCAAATACAGATTTGCTTTTGTCTTCGAGTCTCTTCTTGCTTGTATCCCTCTATCCTGAAAATTTTCGTGATGGTCCTGACCCCACTACATCAGTTATCCACTAAGAGTTCCTGGGCGGCCTCGCACACTCACCAATAAGCCCCTGAAAGAGCCGAGAACGCCGCCCCCTTGCGGCAGTCCTACTGAGGCGCGCTGCTTCACCCCCAGGCCGGGGTGAAACAGAGGTCACCGGCTTGGCAGAAGCAGCAAAGCCTTTGGTAGCGCCCGGATTTGGATTTCAATCTGGGATTTACCTCACAGCGATTGTGACTGTTGTAAACATTGTCCTACCTAAAGCACACAGTGGGGTACCTTAAATTTAATTCTAGTGAACCAAAGACTCGTTTTGAGTGAAATGTACACCTTTCATGAAGATACTGTCACATTAAAAAAAACACACACACAAAAAACAGTAACAGTCGCTACTTTTCCCTTCAAAGTAAATTTAAAATGTTCATTTCTCTCTAAAATTCTGACTAGGTCACGGCCCTGTCCCTGCTGGCTCTCAGACAGCTTTGACCCAGGAGCTTCGACGGTCCTAAAAAGTGTCTCCCTGCCTGGCTCCAGGTTCTGTCTTCTGGACCCACCCAACCTCCATCACCAGCCACATCTACAGCCTCAGGGGCCTGGTGGGAGCAGAGTGTGCCGAGTACGTGAAGCTCTGTCTTGGAAACTGACCTCCTACCTGCCCCAGCCTTTCATCTAGTCACTCCCCCTTCCCAACACAGGCATTTGTCTCCATGAAAGCATTGCTCTGGGGAGGACATCTGAACCCAGAAGAAATACTGTACTGGGTGGAGTAGGATGTTACTTAGAAGCCTAGTTACCTGAATCAGCTTGTTTTGTTTATTGAAAGTGAGGATCTGGCTAACTTTAATCAACTCTCCATAACTGAGAATTCCCTTCATGAACCCTGGGGACTTCCTGTGCTTTTTACAGTTCTGGCTACAATCAGAATTCTCTCTAGCATCATACTTTCCATACTATCTATCCCAGTAACCCAGATAGAATCCTCCCATACATACCATCACCCACTGACTCTGACCTCTTCCTCCCAGGAGCATAGCTTCTGCCCTAAAATGTAACACCCCTCTCCCATGATACACATAAAACACACACACACACACACACACACACACACTATAATACTCTATATTATAGAGTAACACTATAATACTCTATAATACTACAACACTATACTACTCTCTCTTCCTCAGTAACTAGATCCTGCTGTGAAATACCCCCTCCCCTGTAGCTTAGGTCCTGCCTTGAAATACCGATCCCCCTCCCCAGTAGAATTAGATTCTGCCCTGAAATACTCTCCTCCCTCCTCTAGTGTGAGAGCATCCAATCCTTCTAGATCCCAATTAGCACCATATTTGTGTAGCCTTGTAGATCCCATAGACCATGTTGGAACTTTGCAATTGTCCCTTACAGAACTTTATTCCACAGTTTTTCCTGTGGAAAAAAAGTTTTTTTGACCAGCTTCTTATACACCCCAAATGGTAGCACTGCCTCAGGCAGCTATGATATTAAACAATTGTTGATGATTGTTTTTAACAAATTCTCTCGGGATAAGGCGTTCCTACAGATCAAGTTCTGAGTCAGGTCAAATAAAGACAACTTTGAGACGGGAGCCCTTTATGAAGCTGCTAGATAGGTTAAATAATGATAATTCTCTGGGGGAGGGCTTTTGGAAGCTCTGATCCCAATCCCATTCTATTCCCTCCAGAGACTCCTTAGATGCTAGTTTTCATGGTTGCAATCATTGCAAGGTTCTTGGTTTTCAAGACTATTATGGAGCTTATGTGATGGAGTAAGGCAGTTAAAATAACAAAAGTATGCAGTTCTCACAAAATTCAGCTATCAGAATGTTGCAAATCTTTGGTTAATTTTTAGACTCCTCCTCTTTTGCCAGTGTTTTTCTTACTTTTACTTTTTGTAAGTCTTTATTGCAGTATACTGTATGCTGGAAGTGCTTCCCCTTCCTCATTTGTTACTTTCATTTTGGATTAAAGTATTATTGGAAAGAGTTCTTGAGCCAGGCTTTCACAAACCAAAACACAGAAGGCCAAAGGGAGTGGTTCAAGATGATGAAATAAGAGGGTTCAGGCCAGATGGCTGTCAACCCTGGCTGCACATTTGAATCACCCAGGGAGCTTTAGGCCCTACCTTGAGAGATTGATATAATGGATTTGGCATATGGTTTCTATATTAGTATTTTAAAAGCTCCCTTGGTGGTCCTAACATGCTGCCAGGGTGAACACCATTGTCTAGAATGAGTTTCATGGCAGAGGTTGAGTCATGGCCCCAGTATAATGGTATGAACCTAAACAGCAATGTTCTCAAAGTGCCTGTTGCAGACCATTTCCATCCGAGTAACCTAGGCAGAAGTGAGTCCCAAATTATGTAGCAAAGAGTCAGTTTTATAAAATTATTTTTGTTTCTAATCTGTATGAATTAAAAAATTTTATAAAATAAAAGTGGCTTAACTAAATATAAAATAAAATTATATATACAAAATATAAGTCCAAATATTTTAAAATCCAACAAATGAAAAATTACTCTGTAAAATAGTGATTAAAGTGCTTCTGCTGAGTTGAATTTGTTGTAAACTGGTAACCAAGTACATGAGCCAGTTCAGAGAGCAGATAAACTTGACTTTGCGCTCGTTGTTGAAGAGTCATCTTAAGGAGGCACTTCTGGATGAACAGAGAAAACTAGTCGAAGGGGAGGACCCACAGGTGATGCTCAAAAGTGAGTCCTTCTTTGTCCTTTTTGGCTGGCAACAAGACAACTGCAGAGAGGTGTGTCATGCAGGCCCAGAACAATCTGGGGTGACATTGGGAATTTAGAAGATAAACAGCTAAATTACATGCCATTTGCACAGGACAGGGGAAACCACTAGACAGGGGTTATTTGTCCAGATGTTGATATAAAGAGACATAGAACATTTCTGCAAGATAAGCACTAGATGGCCCTGTACAGACAGTGAGAAAAGGTGTGAAGAGGAACCCAGAGGAGGGTGACAGTGGTGTATTGGAAGAAGAAGGATTCTTACCAGCATGGACCATGTCAAAGAAGCCAAGGAGAAAGGGAGGGGAGAGGGGGATCTTCCCCAGTTATTGCAGAAAGTGGGAGCTGGATTGGAGAAGGCAAAGCAAGCAATTTTTAAGAATGGTTTCAACAGAGATGGAATTCCTCCAGCTGATGTTTGCTAATGCCATATTACTTATTAACCTATGAGACTTGAATTGTCCCAGCAGTGAAAGTGAATGATTTTATAGACTCATAGACTCAATTCCTACTACTGATAATCTAACAGCTTAATTGGTGGCTTATTGCCTGTGCAAATGGGGACTTTGTTGCCTTTTGGAGAAGGTGGAGGAGTAGGGGAGCAGCAGGTTTTCATTCTAACTTAAACTGATATGTGCACAGTCTGAGAGCAGAGAGAAGATGGTTCACATGCCATCTTTAGGATCAAACAGGCCATAGACCGAGGCTCCCAGCAGGTGCCTTGTGAGACTTCAGGACTGCAAGAGCTGAAAGGAGCTCAGGGTCCTTCCGGTCCAAGAAGCAATTTATGTTTAGAATTTTGGGGGAGCTAGTCAATAAGAGCTTGTAATAAGTCATTACTAATTATTGTTGATATGGCATATGGTTTTTTATAACCAATGAACTTGCTGTCACTGAATTTATGAATGTGTTCATAGTAGGGAATTTGAAAATATTAAAGTGTATGAAAACAAAGCCAGAAAGTGGATGACTGCTTCCATTTCTCAGAGGTGCTGATAATGTTTTATGGCACTGACTACAGTAAGAACAGATTTATCTGTGTAAACCTATGACGATGGGTGCTCTGCATTAGGTATATAACTTGGAGCTCCAGGCAGTACAGTGGTATGGATTTCATTTACTCATTCATTCAACAAATAGCTATTGGGCACCTTCTACTTTCAAGGGACTGTGCACAGCACCAGGGATACTAGGATCAGCAAGCTGTGCTGTCAGGAGTTTACAATCAAGGAGAAAATACAGACAGACAGAAATGTAATAAGCAGACAGCAAAGTCTTGGCCAGGGAGAAGGCTTCGGTGAAGGGCCTTAGAGCCTGGGTTTCTCCCCTGTCCCCATAGTCTCAAGGCCTTCATCAAAGACTTCCAGCACAGACCTGGGGTCAAGACTAGGGTGGAAGTATAGCCTCCTCCTCCACCCCCACCAGGAGGGCTGCCCCTTTTACGCATGCCCCCTACTGAGCCTGCACCCTCAGGGACCCTCTGGGCCTCCCCAGCTGCCCCATCAGCTCTTGGTGTTCTTCCCCCAACACCAGTGGTCCACCCCCAGATCCGAAGTTCACTCTCCAGCTCCTCGGGTTCACCCTTGCTCCCAGCACCATTGATTCACCCACCTACATCTGGGGTACCCCATGCTCCAGGTTTCCACACCCCCCACTCCAGATGTTTACTCTCTAGCCCCTGGGGTTCACAAGTGTCCACCGTCCCCCAATGGCTGAGGTTCACCTCCCCAGCCCCAGGAGGGCATTCACTCCCAAGTCTTGGAGGTGCACCCATAGCCCCTGGGATAAGTTAGAAGGCACCAGTTGTCTACCCCCATCTTCCTGGGGTCCATCCAACAACTCCTGGAGTTCACCCTCAGCCTCCTGGGGTTCATTCCTCAAATCCTGGGATACACACACCAACTTGTATGCCCCCTGAGGACTCCTCTCCCCTCTGAAGGCCAGAAGAACATTCCTTTCCCTCCCCCAACTAACTGAAAATCTGACCCCCTTGTACATCTGATTTCCTGTTTTTCATATTTTCCCAAAGAATGGAATTCTGAGCTTTTGTACTGTCTCTAGAGTCCATTAAATAGTCTCCTCCATGGGGGTGGAAAGAAATCTAATAAGCAGTTATAGGGTGCTATGTTACAGGAAAAGAAAGGAGGAGCCCACTATTACTGGAGTCATAAAGACCATAAACAATTAGGCTGAATTTAATATGGTAGGAAAATCAAGTAACAACTATGGGCAGAGCCAGGCAAAGGATTTCATGAAAAGAAGTGTCAAAATATATAAGGTATACAGAGGGAAAATCGGAGTATCAAGATTAAAGATAGAACAGTCCAGCTAAAATGTAAATTGGTAGGAGAAATTGAAGGTGACTCCAGAATCTTGGATGGATCCAGATTTTCTTGTAAACTTTTGGATATCCAGAGTTGATTTGATCCCTGTTCTAGGCAGAATGATCTGGCTGTTACAGACCTGCTTGGCTAGTCTGAGCTCTAGTGCTCTTCAGCAGGAGGGATAATTTGTCCTCATTCACCTAAGTGGCCTGTCTCACAAGTTGATGAATTCAATACTGCTGCTGGGAAGGTCTTGGCAGACTGTTGGTGGACTTGGAGCCAGAAATGTGAATTTGAGTAAGTAAATCTTTGAGTCTTCCAGAACCTCAGTTTTTCTATCTTAAAGATGAACTAGAAAACATTAACTCTATAGGACTCCATTTGGCTTAAGTGAAATAAAGTTTGGGAACTAAAACATAATTGTTATTATCATTAAACTGCAAATATCACTTATGCTTGAAAGCTGTCAACCAGCTGTCAACCTCTTTTACCTCCTATTACAATGAAAAAGTGATTATCAAACATGTGTTCCTAATAATCACCTGAAGCTTGCTCTAAATGCAAATTCCCAGCCACCATCCCAGGTGATTTGATCAAGTGGTCTTGGTTGGTCCCAGAATTTTGTATTTAACCAAGTCCCTGAGGTAATTTTGATGCAGGTAATGAAAAATTTATACTTTGGAGAAGTGGGAGCTGAATTCTACAGTCCAATATAATAGAAATAAAGCCTCAATCACCATTTTAACTCATAATCTCAGTAAATGGTACAGAGTAGTGTGAGATGCCTGTAGGATATCCAAGTTGGAAGGTCCCTGGGCTCTTTGATGAGGACTCAGAGATAGGTCTGGGCTGGAGGTCAGATTTGGGTGGCACCAGTGTATAGGTAATAGCTGAAGCCTCCAGAGGGGCAGAGGAACGAAAGCCACACTCCAGGTCCTAGTATTGCCTGGTTGGCCCTGTTTAGCTGAGTTTATACCTTAAAGAGTTGGTGTGGATGTTTCTCAGTCTCTGCTTCCTCTGTTCTTTCTACTATGAATGGCATCGCCATCTGGCCAGATGACAAGCTAGAAACCTACCTCCATTGACTACTCTGATCCTCACTCAAATCAGCTCAGTCACCTCATATGATCAATTCCACTTCTCAACATTTCTCGAGTCCTTGTTCTTCATCTCCACTGCCACAAGTTTAGCCTCGTCTCTTGCATGGACTGGCTTCTGCCCTGGAGCTGGCCCTGCTGTGGTCCAATCCTGCCTGAGCCCTGCAGTCGGAGTTTCAGTATATGTTTCAGGCATTTTGCTTCCTTAACCAGTCTAAGCTCATCCAAGAGAAGAGACTCCAATCTTGCTGATTATTATGTCACTGACGCCAAGTACAGTAGCTGGCACACAGTAGGTGCTCATAAAGGTTTATTTCTTTTGTCCTCATGTTCCTTGTTCTTCCTTTTCTCTAGTTCTAAAGTTCAAAGGCAAGGAGAGATTGTTAGATCAGAAAATTGATTCACAGTTTGCCTTGTGGGTTGTGCATAATTCTTTGAGTATAAAGGAACTGCTATGGTCCCTGATAGCTCCTTCCTAAATGAACTCCATTGTCATTTTCTACCTCCATTACAGGCACCAGAGCATCACCAGTGATGGATTAATAATATTAACTAATTAGAGCTAACAAATGAGATGGAGAATCTAGTATTTTCTCTGGTTACATAAAGATAACCCAGTTAAGTGTCTTCAGAAATCTTTAAACATTGAGTAAAATGGTGTGAAGGGGAAGAGAAACGCTTTGATAAGGAACCATTCACAAGTCCATAGAACCTGTGAACAGGTGTGATCCAAGAGTTTATTTGCCCTCTAAAAAGGCTATCCTGCTTGGAGGTGGCTGGTCCCTAACTGAAATCCTCACTTTTAATGAGTATTTATGGAGCATCTACTATGAGCCAATTGCCATTTTGTGCTCTGGAGATATAGTAGCAAACCATACCGACAAATATACTCTGCTTTTATGCAGTTTCTATTTTACTGGGGGTGGGCAGACAACATACTAAATAAACAAATATTTATTTTGTCAGACGGTCATAAATGCTATGCAGATAAAAGGAGGCAAGGGAAATAAGAACACTAGGGATGGTTTTTGTACAGGACAGTCAGAGGGGAATTCTCTGATACTGCTATGGTCTAAATGCTTGTATCCCCTCAAATTCACGTTTAAACTTAATCCCCAATGTGATAGTGTTGGAAGGTTGGGTCTTTAGGAAATGATTAGCTCATGAAGGCAGAACCCTAATAAATGGGATTAGTATTCTTATAAAAGAGGTGTCAGAGAGGCCCTTTCCATTCAAGGACCATGTGTCAACACAAGTAGAAGTTTCCATCTGTGAACCAGAGAACAAGCCCTGACCAGGTGCTGATTTTTCTGCTATTGCCTTGATTTTGACTTTCTAGGCTCCAGAACTACAAGTAAGTTCATGTTGTTTATAAACCACCCAATTTATGGTATTTTATTATAGCAGCCCCAAAAGACACGATATGATAGTTGTGCAAACATGTGAAGGAGAAAAGGCAGTTATCCACTTGGGTATGTAGGAGAAGACATTCCAGGTAGAGCAAAGAACTTGTGCTGGGCTCTGAGGAACTAACTGCCTTTTCTTCATCAGAAAACTAATTTTAGCTGGTTTTACAGGCTCTGGTCTGGGAAGTGCCAGGGCAGATGGAGGTGGGGGAGGGAAAGTTGTAGCTGCAGACTTAGGGTACTCCAGGGAAATCAAATTCATGACTTTCCTCTAGGCAGAGTTTTGGTGGTGGCTACTTGCTCAACTTTCCTAAGTTCACTTTTGATTATCTCAGATTCCAAAGTAGGATTTGGTCTGGTTCCCCCAGTAGTCACAGAGGTGATTCTCCTGGCTGTTAGTTGCCTGGGAGATACTTAAACTGTGTAGACTGGGAAAACAGGCAAAAAGGCAGAATAAGCATCTCCCTTCTTTTGCTGTGGCTTGCTCTTTGTTATCTTTTCCGTTTTTTCTAGATTAGGGCCCCCTTGAATCTGAATTTCTGTATAGTAGGATCAGAGAGTTTAAGTAGAGTGGTAGGAATGATTCAGAGTTGATAAACAAAAAGATCATACTATTAGAGAGAAGGAGAAAGGAACAAACATTTATTTTACCAATGGGCTGTTCACTAAGCTGTTTTGATGTGTTATCAATTTTTCTTTATGACTCTGCAAGGTAGGAATTATTGTCATTTCTAAGATAATAGCTGTTTTCTGTCTTATAAAAATAGACCTTGTGAATGATTTTTAATGTTAAAAAAAGAAACTGAGGGGCTGGGCTTGTAGCTCAGTGGTAAAGCGCTTGCCTAGCATGTGTGAGGCACTGGGTTCGATTCTCAGCACCATGTACAAATAAAATATAATAAAGGTCCATTGATGTTTAAAAAAAATAAAAAGAAACTGAAAGTCCCTCATAGTCTCACCTCTCAAGCAACTGTAAGAAGCTGGCGTATAATCCTGAATTTAAAAAATACATGCACACACAACCCCCTCACCTTTGTTTTTAAACTGGGACCATAGTATACATACTCTTCTGAGACTTGTCTTTTTCCTAGTAGCGGTGCATCTTGGCTATCTTGCCATGTAGTTAATGAAAGCAGGGTTTTGGGGGGCAGTTGGAGCTCTCTGATGACACATCCGGTTGTGTGATTTCACACAGGTCACTTTACCTCTTAGGACTCCACTTTCTCCCATTTGTGAAAGGAGGGCAGGGGACAAAAAATTCAGCGATGTAATGCCAATAAGCAGGGCACCTCAACCCCTGGCGACCTCGTGTATCTGGGACGTTCACAATGTCCAGTCCTACTTGATTTGGACGGGAGTCGCCACTTGCAGTAACTCAGATGACAAAGCCTCCGCTGGCGCTGCCAGAAAACTCAAAAGACAAGAGCCTCTAGCAGCCACCCCTCAGTGAGTAAGAGCGTAAAGAGGTCGGCTGGGCGGGTCCGGAGGCGAGGCTTAGGGGCGGGGCAATGGCCGGGGGCGGGGCCTCGGCGCCTGGCGCGCAGGGCGTGCGGGCTGGTAGGCCGGCCGCTTCGTGACGTACTAGACGCCCGCGCCCGGCTCCTCCCCGTCCCTCCCAAACCCCGCCCCTTCGTCTCTGCTGCCGGGGACCCTCAAGCCGCTGGCGCAGCGATGGCGGAGGCGGTGGAGCGCACCGACGAGCTGGTCCGGGAGTACCTGCTCTTTCGCGGCTTCACGCACACACTGCGGCAGCTGGACGCCGAGATCAAGGCGGACAAGGAGAAGGGGTTCCGGGTGAGGGGCCGGCGAGCGCCGCGCGGGCGGAGGCGGCCCGAGGGATCTCCAGAGCGGGCCCCTTCCCCCGAGCACTGCCCTCCTGGGATGTAGCGGCGCTGTCACGTAGACATTTTGCGTCTGGCCCTAGCTAGGCATATGAGGAACAGGCCTTGAGACGGACGTGACTTTCCTGAAGTTGCTCAGTGAGTCAGGAGCATCTGCATCGGGGCCCAGGTGCCCTGATTCCTGGTCCAGGGCTCTGTTCTCCATCCCAGTCTCCCGGCAGGTGCTGGTGGAAGAGGTTTTAGGAGCCAGGACTGGGTAGATGGTTGAGTTCTGACAAGAGAAAGACATAAGATTTTGGCTTCTGATGGCAGTGGGAGCAAAAGCGTCTGCAGCCCCAAACGCCAACTGGGTTCAGGCGTCTGAGGTGTTCGTTTAAAATGGCCTTGTCAGAGACTCATTGGCAATTTTGCTTGAGTAGTTGAGGGAGAACTCATGGCACATTTTAAAATATAAAGACTTCCTACTATGATATGATTTTACCTTGGGAGGTTCTTGGAATTTGTGTGCAATTTGTATGTGCTGAATCAGTTTTTCTGGTGTTGGCGGATGAATTGAGAGAGACAGTGAGCTAGCACCGAGAGCAATGGAGGGGAATTAGAATACTTGGTTTTTTGCCTTGCCAAAGTTAGTTACTTATGGCAAAAGCAAATAATTTTACCTCTTCAGATTTCAGTGCCCTGATCTATTTTTGATATGGATATACAAAATTTTTCTAGATTGTATATTCTGGTGTAATTGTTCTTCACAAGGAGTTGAATTCTTTCTTTGACTGACACTCTGAGCAGCTACCAGGGTTGTGGTAGTTTTTTGACTTGCAGGAGTAAGTCAGTGCACAGCTTGGTGATCCTTGGAATCCTGGAATTGTGCACTGGGAGGAGGCCATAGACATTGCCTCATACTTTCTTACCTCTTTGCCTTTTAAATATGAGGATCTGAGACTGCAGTTAAAGTGACATTGCCAAGTTGGTACAGTAGATCCAAAACCTGGAGCCAGATCTCTCGCTCCCTAAGTTAGGGCCAGAGCCCCCCCCCTTTTTTTGTAATTGTAGATGTGCAGTAGGCCTTTATCATTTATTTTTATGCGGTGGTAGGCATCAAACCCAGTGCCTCACACAGGCTAGGCAAGCGCGCGGCCACTGAGCTATAGCTCCATCTCCTGGGCCAGAGCCTTTTTATACTTGAAGTTTCCATGCTTACGGGAGAGACAACATATATATCTAGCATCAGAAAGTAATTTAAAAGCTACTACATTAGTATGTTTTGTTATAAATTGCCAACTTAAATTTATTTGTACACCCAGAAGTCAGTGAAAGGAAAACTGTATTCTGTGGAATGCAAGGTGAATTCCCTTCTATCCTTCCCCGCCTTCTCCAGCACTGCTTTTTCTCACTAGGTGGACAAGATTGTGGACCAGCTACAGCAGTTAATGCAGGTGTATGACTTAGCTGCCCTTCGGGATTACTGGAGCTACCTGGAACGGAGGCTCTTCAGTCGCTTGGAGGATATATATAGACCCACCATCAACAAGCTGAAAACCAGCCTCTTCCGCTTTTATCTTGTCTACACAATCCAGGTGTTTGTTGATTCAGGGGTTCTGAGGTGGGAGAGCTCTTTGATCCAGAAATAGATTTTCTTCTAACTGGAGGGAGACACATGAACATTACTATGAGAAAGTGTGGAACAGCCACAGTGCATATTATTCTTGACTGCTTTCCTACTTCTTTTTTTCCTTCTCATCATCTGTAGGTCCTCTTACCTGTTGTTTCCATTCCTATTTCCCTTCTTGTTTTAAGCACATCACCCTGGGTAGTGGTTTAAAGATATAAAATTTAAGTAATAAAGACTACAGCTGATTTGAAAGAATAAGTCACTTAGGTTATTTGAACATCAACAAGGGATTAGTTTTCAGGGTGGCATTTGTCGTTAGAACTTCAGTTTAAACTATCTCTGAAATAAGGTTCCTGAGAAAAGGGCGATGATTGTGTTCATATTGTGAAGGTAATATCTTGCCACTCACTTGGCAGTTGATATCCAAAAGGCTGTCTGCTGTGTCGTGGTGAAGAATCTTACCTCTGGACTTGTGTCTCTTCCCCTTCCTTGCTACCTCCTTTGTGTCTTGGCAGACAAACAGAAATGACAAGGCTCAGGAATTCTTTGCAAAGCAGGCCACAGAGCTTCAGAACCAGGCTGAGTGGAAGGATTGGTTTGTCCTGCCTTTCCTGCCATCCCCAGACACCAACCCCACCTTTGCTACCTACTTTTCTCGACAGTGGGCTGACACCTTTATTGTGTCCCTCCACAACTTCCTGAGTGTCCTGTTTCAGTGCATGCATATCCTTTTTTGCTGCCTGGGGCTGTGGGCTTAGTCTGAGGCATCTAGACTGTGTGCCAGGGATCATTGACATATGTCATGTGAGGGGGCTGGACAAATTGTGGTTATTTTTGTCAGGAGACCAGGGAGTCATAAATCTTAGTTCTGACACTGTGCTGCTAAAGAAATAGCTGACATGCATGTGTGGGGATAGTGTTAGCAGCAGGCAAAAGGGTTAGAAGACAGCTATTTTCTTGGTGAAACCAGTCAGATTTGAAGCACCCTGTCTGTGCATGATGTGTCCCTGGGGATTGCCTTTGTGGGGATTCCGTAGCAAACCGAGAACACTTGGGTTAAGGTTTCCTTCCTGAGTTAGTGTTTGGGTTATTTCCTTCCCGGTAGTCTCAGTGTTGCTCTATTTGCCAGAAAACAGGGTAGTTTTAAGTCAAATATATGTGAGTATTTGAGAGAGAGAATGATGATACATGCAAAACAGCCTGTCAAATATACCATTTGTTATGAAAAGCCAGAGATCCTGAGACCCAGGAATGCGTCATTGTTCAAGTCCTCCAGGCTGGAAATCTGGGGGGTGGGGGTGGGGTGGGGAGGAAGGGAGTGTGGTTTGAGCAGTGCTGTCTGGTAAGGCCCTGATAAATTTGGGTGTTGTAGAGGCCCACCCACTGGTGGCCCTTCTGGCCTCTGGGAAGAACATTTTCTGGTGGAGGTTCCTGCCTTTGATGTTTCCTTTCCTCATGTGAATTAGCATGATTTCCATCCTCACAGATATGACTCTCCTGCTGCCTTTTCATCCTGAGGGCTTTCCAAAGAAAATCACAAGGTGGTTGCCATATGACTGTGTGAACCCTTCAGGGCAACTGAAATGGTCACTCAAGATCTTTTCAAGCAGAACTCTGCAAACTAGGTCACACACATCTGAGCTACAGTTTGCTTCGCCAGGACTGAGGCCTGGTCTGCTCTGTGTCTCCTGACTGAAGCTGTGTGAACAGTTGGGAAAGACCAGTACCACAGCTAGAGCAGGGTGTTTGTGGGGTGGTGTGTGGCCATGCAATCTGCAGGAAGCTTTCTCTTCTCAGTCTAAACTTTGCCAGGGAGAGGTTTAATCTGGGGAGGGAAAACCTAGTGGCTGATCCTACTTCTAAGGTTACCTTCTGTCTGTATTCAACTTTTGCTAAAGCTTAGATGGTGAAGCCTGACAAATGCCAACTCTTTACTTCCATTGTTTGGGGGGAAATGCCAAAGTTTGAATGTCCTCTTCGAGATTGGCTAGCAGATTGTCATGTGTCTGTGGGTCTACAGGAAGTCAGGCTGACCTGGAGTAACAGGCCCAGAGAATGGGTAGAGAATATTTCATAAATGCAGCTTTTTATTTCATAAAGCTGGGATGAGCCCATTGCACCTATGTTCCTCTGTCTTGTGTTCAAGTGTTTGGCTACTATGTCAGTTGGGAAGAACTTTAATTAAAAAAAAAAATGGTTTTTTTTGTTTTTTTAAAATTTTGAGACAGGGTTTCACTAAGTTGCTAAGGCTAGCCTCAATTTGTGACCCTCCTGTTTTAGCCTTCTAAATCATTGGGATTATAGGCATGTGCCACCATGCTCAGCCAGGAAGAACTTTTAAATGTTCTCAGGCAGGCTTATTCTTTAACTTTGGGCACCAGTTCCAGTGATCCTGAACTTTGATGCAGAGTGCCAGAGGACGAACCAGGTTCAAGAAGAAAATGAAGTTCTGCGTCAGAAGGTTTGTTTTAAATAGGCTGGCTCTTTGGGAAGGACTTCTGCTTTTTGAGCACAAAATTGGGTAGTGGCAATGGAAGGTTGATTAAATGTAGAAAAGCAGAATTATTCTCAGATGAAAGTGAGTCACTATCAGTCAGTGTTGGGGCTTTGAGGCTATACCAACCTCTGGTAACCAGAGGTGAAATTCATGTTTCAAATTATGTGTGCAGCAAAAGTAATGTATAACAGGAATGGTCTTTCAAGAAGAAAAACACTGTGTGCTTTCATACCACACCTTGCACCTCACCTGATTTCTTATGTCTATTTTATTTTTCCTGTCTTTTCCCACATGTAGCCATGTATACATTGTTTCAAATCCAGATTTAATTTAATTCTTCCCACTCTCAACTACCTGTTTCTCTTGTTCGATAAAATAACAAATTTGGGGAACCTACATTTGTCTTTACATTTTGCTGGAGGCATTTCTTTGTCCTGAAATGAAGAGCTCTGTCAGTGAAAAGGAAGGAAAAGGAAGCTTAAAAACTGTTAGGTTCAGGGTTTTAATGTCTGTAATCCCAGCAATTTGGGAGGCTGAGGCAGGAGGATTACTTGTGGGAGGGCAGTCTCAGTAATTTAGCA